GGTGGCCCACGCCGTCAGCTGGGCAAATGACATCAATACTGTACAAATTTTATAATGCGAAATATTAGTACTTTGACTGCATCAGGATATTTTAAGACTACTATTCAAAATATCTTTGCTGCTTCCCGACATACAGATGGAGTCCTGTAGCTCAGTGGTTAGAGCACTCGCTTTGCAAGCGAGAGACCGGAGTTCAATCCCAGGCAGAGGGCGAAACCTTGGGCAAGTTTCCTTACTCCGCACAGAGCCTAATGATAATCCCTCCGCAAAACAAAACAATAATTAATTGGTCATTTTCAAACTACGACTGTTTGTGGGACATTGCTGTGCGCAATTGGCTGCCACGTTCGCCCACAAATATACAGTCAATTCACTTTACAGTGTGTTCTGTGAAGCGCTTTGGGACGTCCTCCCGACGTGAAAAGCGCTATATCAAATGCAAGGATTATTATTATTATTATGCACAATTTCTGTTGCCAGCTTATTGGCTGCACTGTAACTTTCAGCACAAAATATGCAGTCAATTCACTTTACAGTATATTCTGTAAAGCGCTTTGAGACGTCTCAAAGATATAAGGCGCTGTATCAAGTGCAAGGATTATTACTAGTATTATTATCATCATCACATATTGGACCTTTTTCTGTTAAATCTTCCACACTATAAATTTCCAGCGGATAATTTACAGATGGGGTTTGATGCACACAAAAAAACATACACAGAAATTTAAGTTAAGCCTTTTCCTGCCTATATGAAAGGCAAATCTAATTTGTCAGAGATGCTAACTCATGTTCAAGATAATGTCTCCACAGAGTTCTTGTGATAGACTGGTGCAATTAGTAACTGTCAGGATTCGCTCAGAATTCTTGTATCCTTTGTTACGTTGAGGCTGACACACTTTAATTGACTCTTGACTGAGTGCAGCTGATGACTACAAAAGATCCTCCTCATTATTTTTGAATGTATGCACCCAGCAAGCCATCCACAGTAACCTGCCAACTCCAAAAAAAACAATTTGGTCATCGAGCAGTAAATCAATCATCAATGTCCAGAAAGTGACTCGAGTCTGCAACCTCCACCCTTTCTGCCATACACAACCCTGGATTTAGCTGAAGTACATTACAGTAACTTTGATGTGTTGTAAAAAGAGAATCTGAAATCATCCATTACATATTTACGAATCACAATTGAAAATCTAATTTGAGACTGAGATGGATAGATATCTGTTAGGTCAGGGTATCGAGGGATACGGAGCAAGGACGGTAAATGGAGTTGAGGTACAGATCAGCCATGATCGTGTAGAATGATGGAACAGGCTCGAGGGGCTGAATGGCCTACTCCTGTTTCTATTATCCCAGAAAAGCAATCCGCCAATCGATGAACAACCGAGTTCCTATTTACTGCTCGGTAAACAGAGACGTGCGGAGTTAGGAAACTTGTACACTGCATCGCTCCCTCCAGCTTTTTCCTCTCCTTCAAGTCAGAAAGGGGTTGGATTCCACTCTGCGATTGCCAACAGATCAGTGAGATCAGACGTATCTGAGGGTCCATCAATCCTGTGCTTTACTGGCATCATTCAGTCGGTGCTTCATGTTTCATTGTGTGCTTTGTTGCATGATATTCACAGTGACACACACACACACAGCTTTGCTTAGTCACTCATAATGTTTGGCTCCCGAGCACTCCATTAAAATGGGTGCAGAACATTCCCTGAACTCCATCTTAGCATGTGGTAACAATCGACAATTGTGGCAAATAACTTATGGCTGAGGATTTAACTGCATCCCTTGTTTTGAATAACCTGGCAGACTGAGATACCCAAACTGCCAATTACTATAATCAGAGGAACACGCCGTCGCTATTGATTCACTGATTGTAGGAGTAAATGTCATGCGTACTTTGTTGGAGTCGCATTTCACAGAAACATAATTTAGCAATAATGAATGTATAAGAGTTCAATTTGGCACTCAACGAAAGGGATGAGATTTACCGTAACTCTACACGACTGTTCAATCCCACCTAAGAATTAATTTACACCAACTGCCTCCTCTCCCTTCCTGCAACTGAGATGCCTCAACACCTTGTGCCCTAACAGGCAGATAACACAAGGATATCCTCAGCTGGCTCTCAATGTCAATCAATGTAATTCAATAACTGCCCCTGACCAAACACAAGAAGTAATTAGAAACAACTGCAATAAACAGTCCTTTCAGCCAACCAAACAATCACCCAAATACATACACGTGTATGCATGCATACAGCCAGCCAACCAACCAACAGTTCTGAGGCTTCCACAAGGTCACACTTGTAAACTGAGCAATCAGGTGTTACTGCCTTCAAGGAAGTCAAAATTCCACCCAGCTATCACACATTACCTGCACAATCATTCCATTCAGATATTTAACATTCAACACTTCAAAGGAAACGTAGAAATTGGATAACACTAAAGATAATGTCCCTTTTTTTTCCTTCTAGTTATTGATGGAGGTGAGGAACTTAAGCTGAAGACTCCTGACAAGTCTGAGAAGGGTGGGGTTTGGGCTTGGGTTGGGGAATGATGCATTACAAAATGTGGGAGTTCAAGTAATGGAGGTGGAAGTTGTTTAATTAACTGTAATGCTGCAGTGCCAACTGACCAATGTCACTGATGTAGTAATGTGCATCAAAATCACACACTGAAATAATGTGAATAACCTGAAAAACAATAACAGTAAAATTTTATATTTCTCATTTGAGGAAGGCAGATTTTATTCTATAGATGGTGATTATTGCTCTGATATTAATGAAATAAATTCACCCGTGTTATTTATCCCAGGACTTTTTACAGTGACTGATTGACAGATTGGCCATTTCAGCCTTTCATTGACGCAAGCCCATATTTAAGACTGAATAAAGTTCATCCAAGGCATTTAGTTGTAACTGATTGTGAATGGGCATGCTTGTCTGAGGTACATGAATACAATCCTTTAATCAAAGTATTGTTTCAATAGGGTGTCCTTTGCAATATTTCTGATCATAATTATTTTATCAAAGAACAGAAGTCACAAAATAGGGGATAATTTCCTGCAAAAAATAATAATAATCCTTGCATTTGATATAGCACCTTATCATGTCTTCAAGATGTCTCAAAGCGCTTCACAGAATATACTCTAAAGTGTAGTGACTGTATATTTTGTGGGCGAAACAAGAGAAATGCCTCGCTTGCTCATGGGTGCACTGCTCGATGATGACTACTTCATGCAGATTTCCCGTGGGTCGATGGTAATTCTAAAAGCATCTTCTGAAGGAATCCCATTACAAAACATCATTTAGACCCTCCACCCCCGCAATGTGGCCAATAACTTTACAAAATGAAGAACATTGGTCAGAGGCTTCCCAACACTGCCTTTGCATGCCTGTGTGCACCTGATAAGCTTCCAGTTACTAGGATTCCTTGATGCAGCACCTTGCAGTTCTGCTGGTAAGCTCCATTACTTCAGTCTGTGTAATTCTCGTTACACATATTCCGTTGGTTTAACGCATGCTGTGAGTTTGCAATAAAAGTAAAAGATAGTGAACCTGAGACTTTGCTTTCGGTCTAGAACTAAAATGGTAAAAACCTGTTTCATCCAACCCACTAAGTTAATAATCACAAAACAAGAGGCATTAGCCACGTAAACCCAAACCAGAATTGGCTAATGCAAATCTTGTTAAATTAAACTAATACATAAACCGCACCTTAGAGACAATTTGCTTGCATCTGATTCACATATACATAGTTATTACAGCATTCATAGATTTTTTNAAAGGCATTCTTGGATAAATAGGTCTTGACATAAGAACATAAGAATTGCTCGTCAAAAGAAGACCAAGGTCCATCCAGTTCGCCTTTGACCAGTGATCCTGTCAGTCACATGCTCATGTCAAGTCCCAAACTATTTGCTCTATCCCCAGACTTTTTAACAAGACATTTCCAATCATGTAATGGGTGTATCACCAAAATAATACCAGCTGAGAAACCACAATCACCAGGAAAATAAAACTAAAGTAGGCAACTTAGAATCTGTCAGTGACTAGTAAAGAATACTGCTGCTCTTGAAAAAATCTGGCTTGCTTCCTCGCAACTAGGACACAGTTTTCCCTTCCTAATTAGCAGTTGTATATCTCCTGGTATGTTTTGACAGAATCAAGTATCGTACAGAAAAGCTAGTTTTCTTAAATACCAGTTTACCCTTGCAGTAACACCATTGACATGAACGTTATAAAATGGATAAAGTAATTGAAAAATGGTCTGATATAAATTACACTTTTTCGCAAGCCAAATGGAGGAGGAAGTAATCAGATTGATATCATGTTCTGCTTTGTGGGTGTTTGCTATTTAAAATCACCTCTTAAAATCTGTGCCTTCTGATGATCTCACTGATGTCATAAATTACATGACATTTGCTGACCTTTGCTTTGCCTCAAAGTATCTGTGGACATCTCTGGATGAGGAGTACAACCTCTTCTGCTCCAAGCTTTATACATACCTCCTTTTCTACATATTTTCTTGCCGGGTTTCCTGGCACATTCCTTCGATATTCTTTTTACTGAAAAATGAATAAAAGACTAAAAAATAACATGAGCTCCGTCACAGACAGTAGGAGCATGCAACACTACCAACTGACTTAAAATGGTCCTTTTTTAAAAAAAAAACAAGGATAAGGCTCCCAACTCATTGTGCCTGCACACACAATGGGACAAATGATGCACCTTCTCTTAAGTCAGTGAGAGGGGAATTGAAAAAACAACATCCACCTCAATGGTCGTGCTGTGGAGGGGATAGGAGGAAAAAATAGAGTGAGGTGGGGGAATAGAGGATAGAGATCTGATGGATAGGGAAAAGCTTCATGCACGAACACACAAACCACAGCACAGCATGCAAACCATTTCTCATGCTTGCTAAAAACAAAGATAAGGTACAACATTGATATTAAAGGTTATTAAAATGAGATTCTTCCTGTTCCCTGTTGATTAGACTCACCATCTTCAGTAGGCACATATATGTTTAGAAAGAGGCAATCTTCATTCTGCTCTTGAACGTAAGAGGCAATTACTTCCAAGTTGGCGTAAAACCAGACTGGGAGCATGACTTCCGGCAACATACCATGGATGTTCTGGGGACAAACTGGTGCAAAATGGGTGGCATTTCGAATTTCAGACCAAGACGAAGGGGGTTCTGGGGGTTGGAATCGTCGCTCGCCGGTGGGTGGAGCAGCATATGGTACCCCGAGATATTGGATAACTGGACCCAAGATCTCATTGCTCAGTTCCTTTTTAATCCCCCTTAATCTGCCGTAATTAGTGTTAACCACTGGGTTGGTGTCGTCTTGTTTCTGACACAGCACCAGAGTATCCTTCAATGTAAATCCCAGTATCCAAAGAATAAAGGTAATATCAAACCCCATCCGCACTGGGTGCACCATCACCACGCTCAATATACAGTTAAGCCACATTGGCCTCGCTTGATGAAGCGGCATAGTCTAGAGTTTGTTTGTAGTTCTGGAAGGGAAATCCTATGTCCTATCCAGATGGAATCCCAGGAAATGTTAGGGCGTTGTTCAGACAAAAAGGAAAGGCAAATCTCAAAGGCTTTTTGTATCAGAAAGATTTTCCATGGAGTTTGTACTTAATGAAGGAACATCTTCACTTGGTGCTTTTTTTAGAAAAAACATCCAAACATCTTTTGTGCATCGACATGGAGAGATGTACTGTTCACTGCAGATTTCCTTCTGGTAAATCAATTGTAGGTATCAGTAAGTTTGTTGCCTGCAAAACACAAGACACAGAGTACCAAATTAGTTATTGCAATTGCTCACAATAAAAAAATATCTCTTTTGTTTTAGCCCCACACAAATCCCACAAATCTTTACCTTTCTAAAACCATGGGGAAGAATAAAACCTCCAAAGGAAACTTTAATTGAAAACAAACTTCCTCTCTGACATTCCCTTTTGATTCCTAAACAGAATTGTTTGCCTCGAAATAACTGTTTGGCAATACAGATAAGATGGACTAGAATTAGATTTTCACATATCACAGTCACTTCTGATCCATTGATTTTTAGTGGGGAATGTGTCGGCAGTGGGACAAACCAACTGAGTGTTCTTACCCCCTTCTTCCCACACGCAAGTACGTACGCACTCATACTCACAACCTGCTGTTGTGTGGCCATCCACTTGATGTATGATTGAAACTTGCCAAATGTTATCCCTAGTTGTGCCAGATGGGTTTAAATAATGAGCATCCTTGGGATTTCAATTATGATCAATTGGATGCAAAGGCATGTCTTGTACTGCTACCGAGACCTACTTTCTACTTTTAAACATTCTGATGCGAGGGATATCTCTGAGTGCTTCACTTAAATGTGAGGAATATTTCATCTGGAAATATTACATTTTCTTATATTTGGGAAGATTGCGCAGAATACAATTACAAAGCAAATTTAGCAGAAAAAAGATCATTCGTGATGCAAGCTGAAAATATTAATGGTCTATATCTAAAGAATATAAGCCTGAGTGCAGTCGTGCTTTGAATTCATTTTTTTTCCTTTAAGGTGCAATCTTCATCACAATGTGCAGTGAAAATACAATATAGCAAATGCAATATGCAGCGCGTGAAAAACAACTTGTAACCCAATATTAGAAAGCACATATAATTTGTTCTTTATATTGAAAGGCACTATTAAGTGAGGAGTTTTTTCCCATACAATTTACTTGTGATGTGACAACTAGGGGATTTATCATTATTGACACCACACCATTCATTGGTTACTAATAAAGTATTTTTTGACTTTGAGAGAATTTTAAAGTTTTTTTTCATCAACTATACTTTTAATTCATTGTCCAACAGATTTCCATTCCCATCATCCGGCTCCATAATAACATCAATTTACTTTTTCAAATAACATTTCAATTTACTTGTAGGTACAGAAGCAAGGAAGAATAATAAGATGCATCTGAAAAGCAGCAATTTTCTAGCTTTCATTCCTGTATGATTGTGCCATACCAATAGTAAAAGATATTCAATCACAAATGGCACAGCGTTCTTTATATTTTATCCCAAATTGAAGAAGAACTATGGCCAGTTCCCACCCGCAAAAACAGAAATAATTTGATTCCTCCCCCTCCATCAACAATTATATTGTGTTCCTCAGAGAGTTGTAAGACCATTGTTACATCAAACTTAGATCCTTGATCAGGCAAATGTATTTCTTAGAATAAAAACAGAAGTGGCTGGCAACACTCAGCAGGTCAGGCAGCATCTATGGAGAGAGGAGAGTGAGTGAACGTTTCAGGTCGATGACCTTTCGTCAGAACTCGTCAGTATTTCTTAAAATAATGGAATATTGCAGCCAGCACTTAAATTGGCCATTTTGGTGGATCAAGCCTCTGCTGGTGTTTTTCTCCTCTTGAATGTTGACTGGTAAATTCAAAACATTAATAAACTCCAACATCCATATAAATATATATAATATATATACATTATATATACATATAATATACATTTATATACACATACACACACACGTGCAGGATAATATCTCCTACAAGTACAAATACTTTAGTTGATCAACTTCCACTTCCCATCAAAGTTGTTTGCAAGGATCTTCCATCAGTAACCAGGAACTGTCTGATGGGCAGCCCAGCTAGCGTGAAATTGATGAACCTTGAAATTAGAGAGGGGGTAAAAGACAAGTGGCCCACACCGAGCAACAAATGTACTTCTGCACAGATTTCCATTTACTGTATCCATAGCTCATCAAAGAGTGCAAATGCCCTGAAAAATTGTGGAAAAATGCAAAACCTCTCTTCCATGTCAGTCTGATGCAGAAAAACAGACTTGACAAAAATCCATTCTGAGTGTTCCAAATGACCTTTAACTGAAGAAATGATATATCAATGTGGAAAACAAGATATGCCCTACACATATAAATACAAATCACCTGTGTATGGCACCACAATTTGCTCAGGATAATTCATTGCACTCAACATGTTAATGAAGTGTTGTGTTTAGTTTTAAAGCAGGTATCGTTCTGTTAAACGTTTTACCTTTACAGTCACAGTGGTATTTGGTGTACAAATATTTCACCCACAAACTACATAGTCAATCTACTTTACAACATATTCTGTGAAGTACTTTGAGGCATAGAATAAAGAAACAGGAGGAGGCCATTCAGCCCCTTGAGCCTGTTCTGCCATTCTATAAGATCATGGCTGATATGTACTTCATCTCCAATTGCCTGCCCTTGCCCTGTGTCCCTTGATACGCTGCCCTAATAAATATCTATCCACGTCTCAACGACTTGCAAGGATTATTACAATTATTATTATTAAATGTGGCTTCATATATCCGCAATACTGCCCATCCTTTAATGTATTTTGATCCTTTAATGTATTGTGTGACTTTAATGAGGCTCAGAGGTTAGCTGCATTGCTCTCCTCTGCTTTTTAAAGGCTTTTTTCAGACAGAGGTTCTCTAGAAAATAAAGCACAATCGGTTGTGTTGACTGTAACCTTTGGGATAGAGTATTGAGGCACTGATCTATGAAACTTCCTCTCTCTCTCTCTCTCTCTGACTTCAGTTTGTTATATGCCTGACTGTGCTGTGAGGTGCTGCCCACGGCTATTCCTATGGCAACCCCTCCTATGAACATAATTATTAAAATGAGTTTTCTCAAGCTGCAAGACCGATTTCCTTTCCCATCGCTTTCTCCGCCTTTCTTGGTTTCAGCCAATAATTGGTTCAATACCAGGATATTCAATACAAGACCTTTAAACACATCAGTCAGTCAGTCAGTCCTGTATCTGTGCTATGTTAAACAGGGCAGAAGGGAATGGCATCAGTCTCAACGTGAAATCAATTTTTTTTAAATGGTCAATGTAAAAAAATAAGAAAATACAGTTACTTCATAATTTCCAGTTATCAGGTCTGACATCCAGACTCGTTGTGCTTAACTGAATCTTGGTTTTGCCCACAAAATATACAACCAATTCACTTTACAGTATACTGAATGGAGCGCTTTGAGACGTCTCAAAGGTGCCACAGCAGATGCAAAGGTTATTATTATCATTGGTTCTCTATGCTGTCCTCGCCCGAAACTGGATGGAGCTCCAAAACACATACAATACATTGCAACTAACATATGCATCTTGCCACAGATTGCATAACAGCTCCAGGTGAGTGGCCTGGCTGTGAAATCCAACTAAACAGCACAGTTACTCCCCTCCCATTTCCCAATCCAACAATGCAGAGGTTTAACAATGGAAATCCCTGAGATTAATTACAGCAGAAACATTGGACAGGTCTGGGGGTGGGGGGGGGGGGGGTCCAAAGGGAAACTAAGACCAACAATACTGAATTTGCCTGTTCCACCTATGTGTTTTGTTTAGCGAATGTTCCTGGCTTCGAAACGACTCAAAATGCGATTAATTCCAAAGGTAACGCAATCCTACACCGTTTGCATGTTAACTGGTTCAGTATTATAGTGCGAAGCTCTCAACCCTGATCTCAAACATACTGTTTTGATAAGGAAACCACGTCCTTTCAGGTTACAAAACAACACATTTGGTTTCCTGCACTTTCGTTAGTGTTAATCGTTTTGTTTATATAAACACAAATGAGCAAATACATACTTCAAATACTCCCTTCCCTTCGAAAGTACAGTATTGGCCCCACAGTGTGAATATTAATGTGGTGTGTAGTTGCTAAAAGGTTTGTGTGTGTGTGTGTGCAAAGCTTCGGAAAGCATTTGCTTAATCAAATCATGAAATTAAGAGATGTTTTGTGTATAACCATCTGTCTGGTATTTGCATAGCGTTCAGAACAAGTAACAATAAAGACAGATTATTTCACTCATTTGATTTCGGTACAATTATTGCGAGGTCCACACGGAAACCTCTGCCTATTTGGTGACACAGAAACCCCGTTTAGATCTTTAATGAAAGCAGAAGTTCTCTCTTAATTAGAAGTCAATTAATATCCAGTAATTTGTATGATTCATTCTGATTAAACTGCTGCAAATTGATTTTCTTCTGCACACGAATGTGGCTCCATAAATGCTTCTGGAATTTGTACTGATTTGTTTAAAAATAAAATCATCCGATAAAACAATCTTCAACACAGGGGGGAAACTATACAGCACCCACAGGGGTACATATACACACATATATATACACACACACAGTGACACACACACACTGACACTCACACACACTGACACTCACACACACACAGTGACACACACACACACAGTGACACACACACACACACACTGACACTCACACACACACAGTGACACACACTGACACTCACACACACACACAGTGACACACACACACACACTGACACTCACACAAAACACAAATCAATTTGCCACTTCGATATCCTTCATATGAAGATGATTCTAACCATTATAACGAGCTGATCAGTCTGCTCACATCTTACACACCCCTCGTTCCCTCAAATGTAAACTAAAATGCTATCTGCAACCCTAAATCGCCACTAAAATGCACCTACGTGCATTCCCTCTGCTACTGCACCCCCCATTGCCACACTATATATAACCTGCCTTTATACACATATATATATACATATATATATATAAATGTAGGTTGGAATTAAAACTAAAATAAAAGCGAATGGCTGTCTGGCTGGAGCCAGAGCTCTCGCAAAGGCAATGGGCTGACATTTATTCACACAGAGAGAGTGAGAGAGAGAGATTTCCCCCCCTCCCCAACCACAAAAAGTAGGATTGCAACAATTTCCTTTG